CTTCCTCTGGGTCTCCCATTTGGGTGCAGGGGCCCGAGGACTTGGTCCATTGCTGTTTTTCCAGGCCATAGCAGAGAGCTGGATCAGAAGAGGTGCAGCCAGGAGTAGAACTGGTGACCATGTGGAATGCCAGCGCTGCAGGGCAGGGCTTTAACCCGCTGCACCACAGCACCGGCCTCTGCTTTGAGATTTTTAATATAAATTTTCTTTACATCCCATAAGTGTTTTAAAAAATTATTTGAGAGTTAAAGAGAAAGAATGCATGCTCCTACCCACTGTTCCACTACCCAAATGCCCACAACAGCAAGGATTCAGCCAGGCTAATGTCGGGAGCTGGGAACTCAATCCAGGACTCCCACTTGGGTGGCAAGAACCCATTGACTTTATCCATCACTGCTGCCACCCAGGGTCTTCATTAATAGGAAGTTGGGGTCAGGAGCTGGAACCAAGAATCAAACCCAGGCACTTCATTGTGGGTGACATGAGCATTTTTTTTTTTTTTTTTTTTGACAGGTAGAGTTATAGACAGTGAGAGAGGGAGACAGAGAAAGGTCCTCCCTCCGCTGGTTCACTCCCCAAATGGCTGCAATGGCTGGCGCTGCACCGATCTGAAGCCAGGAGCCAGATGCTTCCTCCTGGTCTCCCATGCGGGTGCAGGGGCCCAAGCACTTGGGCCATCCTCCACTGTCCTCTTGGGCCACGGCAGAGAGCTGGACTAGAAGAGGAGCAACTGGGACTCGAACCCAGCGCCCATAGGGGATGCCGGCGCCTCAGGTGGAGGATTATCCAAGTGAGCCATGGCGCCAGCCAACATGGGCATCTTAACTACATCTTAGCCAGTAGGCTAAACAGTACACCCCCCCAAAAAAAACCACAACTCACCCATAAGTTTTATATGATGTGTTTTTATTTTCATTCACTTTAACATATTTTCTAATTTCCCTTCTTAAAAGAATATTTATTTATTTGAAAGGCAGAATTACAGAGAGAGAGAGAGAGAGAAATAGAGAGATCTTCTGTCTGTTGGTCCACTCACCAAATGGCTGCCAGGGCTGGGCCAGGACTAGACCAGAAGTAAGCCAGGTGTCTGCAACTCCATGCATGTCTCCCACATTGGTGGCAGGGGGCCTAAGCACTCAGGCCATCTTCCAATGTTTTCCCAGATGCATCAGCAGGGAGCTGGTTTGGAAGCAGAGCAAATGGGGCTTCAACTAGTTCTCTTATGGGATGCTGATATTGCAGGCAGCGGCTTAAACCATTATGCTACAATGCCAATCTCCCCTGTGATTTATTTTATCCATTGGTCCTATGTTATTTAATTTAATTATATTTGTGGATTTTTCAGTTTCATTTCACTATGGTCAAACAAGATACTTATTATATAATTATGTGATTTCAAACTTTCTAAACTTTAAATATTTGTTTGTGAGGACTCACATATAGTTACTCTATGGCCTAACAAGTATCTATGGAAACATTTTTATTTTTAATATACTTCAAGATTTAAAAAATAATTCTTACAATGACTTTGCCAAACTGAAATTTGAGAGAGCAGTGTTCCACAAATCACTTTCTTCAGATACCAGCCACAAATTTGGGGTCCCCAGAGTGCCCATCACTTCTTCCTACCCTCAGATTTGGTGATTCACTAGAATTACTGCCTTCTAAATCTCACAGAAGCACTATATTACGTTATATTTATATATATATATATATACACATACTATTTTTTTGCTATACTATATATAGTATATATATATATAGTATATATATATATAGTATAGCAAAAAAATCACGTGAAAAGAAAGACACTGAGGGCTAAGCCTGGGACGGTCACAACCACAAAGCTTCTGTTATTCTCAGGGGCCTTCTGGTCATCAGAATACATAAAGAATTATTAATACCTAAAGAAATGGGGCTGGCACTGTGGTGCAGCAGGTTAAAGCCCTAGCCTGAAACGCCGGCATCCCATATGGGCGCTGGTTCTAGTCTCGGCTGCTCCTCTTCTGATCCAGCTCTCTGCCATGGCCTGGGAAAGCCGTAGAAGATGGCCCAAATCCTTGGGCCCCTGAACCCACATGGGAGACCCGGAAGAAGCTCCTGGCTCCTGGCTTCGGATTGGCGCAGTTCTGGCCATTGCAGCCATATGGGGAGTGAACCAGTGGATGGAAGACCTCACTCTCTCTGTCTCTACCTCTACCTCTCTGTAACTCTGTCTTTCAAATAAATAAAAATAAATCTTTTAAAAAAATACCTAAAGAAATGTAGTTCAGGGTCATTCTCCCGAACTTCAGTGCCCAGAGGTTTTATTGAGGTTGCGTTATATAGCAATGATTGGCTCCTTAGCCACATGGCTCATTCTCTAGCACGCCTTCCTTTCCCATGCATTGATCTGTTATCACAGTGACTCAGACTCTGAGCCCCTCAATTAGTTGGTTGATTTTTCTAGCTTGGCTCAGTCATCTCATCAGCAAAAACTATATAGGGGCCTATCACTAGGGCCCCCATTAGTATAAGTTACCAGGCGTGGCCTGAGTAGCCCACTATGAAAAACAGACACTCCAGGGTATGCAGGCTATCTCCTGGGAACTAAGGACAAAGGCTGTCAAACTATTGCATAGTTCTTTTTTTTTTTAACAGCAAAATTACATTTTTTATAGTACAAGTAAAAACATTTATCTCTGATATATGCATAATTCTTTTAAAAGTCATGATGAAGGGACTGGTGCTGTGGCACAATGGGTTAAAGCCCCAGCCTGCAGTGCCAGCATCCCATATGGGTGCCAGTTCAAGTCCTGGCTGCTCCTCTTCCTATCCAGCTCTCTGCTATGGCCTGGGAAAGCAGTAGAGGATGGTCTAGGTCCTTTTTGCCTCTGTGCCCACATAGGGGACCCAGACTTTTCTCCAAGTCAGGACAGAAGGCGCTCTTGGCCAGTGCTGCGGCTCACTAGGCTAATCCTCCACCTAGCGGCGCCGGCACACCGGGTTCTAGTACCGGGTCGGGGCGCCGGATTCTGTCCCGGTTGCTCCTCTTCCAGTCCAGCTCTCTGCTGTATTTTGGTGACATTCTTGCCTATTATATTTCAATATTTTATGTTTTCATAGTAATATATTTTACTTTTTTCATAATAATCATGAAACTAGTTGGATTTTATTATAACCTTTAATATCTGGTAGTGTTAATGTTCTCAGCCCTGACTTATTTTTTGTTTCCCTTTGCTCCGAGATCTCTTTCACTGGTTTCTTCTTTTTTGCCAGGTATCTCAAATATAGGAGTGCTCTAATATTCAAATCTTGCTCCTTTAACTTCTGTTTATCTACACTCATTCCCTTTGTAATACAGTTTCTTTAAATAGCAATTATGTGCTGGCAGCTCCCAATTTTAAATCTCTAGTCCTGACCTGTCTCTTAAACTCCAGTGTCTTTTTCCTAGCTGCCTAATTAATGACTCCGTTTTGAGAGGACACCTTAAATTTAATATGATCGAAATTGAACTATATCTTCCATGCCTTCTTGTCCAAACCTGCTGTACCCATGGCATTCCCTATCATTTTTTAAAATAATTGTTTATTTTATTTGAAAGTCCGAGTTACATAGAGAGAAAAGGAGAGGCTGAGAGAGAGAAAGAGAGGTCTTCCATCCGCTGGTTCACTCCCCAATTGACCGCAATGGCCGGAGCTGTGCCGATCTGAAGGCAGGAGCCAGGAGCTTCCTTTGGGTCTCCCACACGGGTGCAGAGGCCCAAGGACCTGGGCCATCCTCCACTGCTTTCCCAGGCCATAGCAGAGAGCTGGATCAGAAGTGGAGCAGCTGGAACTCGAACTGCTGCCCATATGGGATACCAGCATTGCAGGTGGTGGCCCTACCCTCTACGCCACAGCGCCGGCCTCTCCCTATCATTGTTGATGGCTGTTCTGTTCTTCCATGGCTCAGACCATAAACCTTGAAGGCACAATTGCTTCATCTCTTCCTTTCATATTCCATATCCAGTCTATCTTGGGTCTACCTGTAAAATACACCTTGGATCTGTCTACCTCACTATACCTCTGCTGATATCTCCCTGGTCTAAACCACTGTTGTCTCTCACTTGGATTACTATAATAACAGGTGTCCTTAAGTCTCTGCTTGCTGTCACCTTCCAGTATTTTCAACCAGATCTCACTCCTCTACTTAAAACACTTCAGTATTTCTCCATCACACTGAGCACAAAAGTGAAATTCCTTAAAGGGCCCACAAACGTCCTCTGCTTACCCTTTACCACCTGTCTTCATCGCCTGTCACTCAGTCCTCCCCAGCCACACTGTTCTTACTATTCCTCAAACATACCAGACACGCCTTCTACTTTGGGGCCTTTAAAGCAGCTTCTACCCAGATGCTCTCTTCCCAGAACTCTGACTGCATTCTTGACTTTCTTCAAATCTGTATTTAAATGTTAACTTATTAATGATTCCTCCCTTGGACTTCACCAGCATTCCTAATATTACTTGCCTTACTTTTTTTTTCTTTGCTGTGGCACTTAGTAACTTCCAACATACAATAAAATTTACTTATCATTTAGTTCTCTCTAAGAAAATAAAGTCCATGAAGGTAAGAATCTTTGTTTATGATATTGAAAGCATATAGAATAGTGACTAGTACAAGGAAAATATTTGTTCAGTGTATAATTTTTAATGAAGTAGCTATAAGAATGGAGATAATTTCAGCATATGTATTAATAATACACACAAAATTATAACCAAGTCCAATCATATCCTTAATTTATTCTTGTCCTGGTATCTCCTTTTACTGATTGTCTCAAATTCTAATCATTCCTCTTCAATTTTCTGTGTGACCTATTTCAAGTTTCTATTTTGGCACATTAAGAACTAAAACACTGTTGTTTTTATGGCTCTTTTTTTCCTATAAATTCACAGACTTCACTTTACAAATGTACTTTCATAAATGTACTTTTCTTGTATACAATGAGGAGACTTTTTTTTTGTCTTATTATTACTTTTCAGGCTGGGAGTCTATGTGTGAGATTGAAGAATTAATCCCAAAGCAGGGTCTTTCTGATGAACAATCATCCAGGAAGATAACGGATAAACTTCCAAGTTATGGCTTTGAGTACTCCAGTTTGAGAGAAGAATTGAAATGTAAGGACCACTTTGAGAGGCAATCAGGAAACCAGAAGGCAGGTTTAAAGGAAGAGACAATCACTTATGAAGAAGGTCTTGTTGATGCAAGACAACAGGAATATAAAAAATCTTGGGAAAGTTTCCCTCAAAACACACTGCTTCGTACACAACAAATAATCCCCAAAGAGGAGAAAGTACGTAAATATAACACGCATAAGAAAAGCTTTAAAAAGACTGTGATGACCATTAAGCCCAAGACTGTCTATGCCGAGAAGAAACTTTTGAAGTGTAATGACTGTGAAAAAGTCTTCAGCCAGAGCTCATCCCTTACTCTTCATCAAAGAATTCATACTGGAGAAAAGCCCTATAAATGTGTAGAATGTGGGAAAGCCTTCAGTCAGAGATCAAACCTTGTTCAGCATCACAGGATTCATACTGGAGAAAAACCCTACGAATGTAAGGAATGTCGGAAAGCCTTCAGTCAGAACGCACATCTGGTTCAACATCTGAGAGTTCACACGGGAGAAAAACCCTATGAATGTAAGGTATGTAGGAAAGCTTTTAGCCAGTTTGCCTACCTAGCTCAACATCAGAGAGTTCACACTGGAGAGAAACCCTATGAGTGTATTGAATGTGGGAAAGCCTTTAGCAATAGATCATCCATTGCTCAACACCAGAGAGTTCATACTGGCGAGAAGCCTTATGAATGTAATGTCTGTGGGAAAGCATTTAGCCTTCGTGCATACCTTACTGTCCATCAGAGAATACATACCGGAGAGAGACCCTATGAATGTAAGGAATGTGGGAAAGCCTTCAGCCAGAATTCACACCTTGCTCAACATCAAAGAATTCATACTGGAGAAAAACCTTATAAATGTCAAGAGTGTAGGAAGGCCTTCAGCCAGATTGCCTATCTTGCTCAACATCAAAGAGTTCATACTGGAGAGAAACCCTATGAATGTATAAAATGTGGGAAGGCTTTTAGCAATGACTCATCCCTTACTCAACATCAGAGAGTTCATACTGGAGAGAAACCTTATGAATGTAATGTTTGTGGAAAGGCGTTTAGCTACTGTGGATCCCTTGCCCAACATCAGAGAATTCATACTGGAGAGAGACCTTATGAATGTAAGGAGTGCAAGAAAACCTTCAGGCAGCATGCACACCTCGCTCATCATCAGAGAATTCATACTGGGGAGTCACTCCCACCACCCAATCCAGCAAATCACCAAGTTCTATAAATCTATCCCCTAAATATTTTTGGAATTTATACTCTTTAATGTTGTCACCCTGGCCTGAGATTCCTCTCGCCTAGATTACTTTAGAGCTTTCTAAAAAGTCTCCGTGTGTCCATTTTTGCTATCCTTAAATCTGTTTCCTACAGCACACCCAAACTGACCTTTAAAAATGCAAGAATATACATGTCACTCTTCTGAGTTAGAACTTTTTTTTTTTGGCTTGCTGTTGTCAGACTGATATCTACAGCCTTTAAAATTGTCTATGAGGCTCTCTATTATCTAGGTTTACATACCATTCAGCCTTATTTTATTCCAGACTCATTCTCTGGGCACTAGGGGCTTCCAGGAATAAGAGCTTACATTCTGGAAAAACACAGTTCTACCACTACATGACATTGTGTGACTTTGACCTGCTAGACTTACATAAACCTCAGGGTTTTAATTCTTAACATGGGAATAATAAATGAAATATTGTAGAAATGTATTAAGTGAAATAGTGTCTGTTGCAAATTGATACATGTTAAATGAGAAATTTGCATGTAAAGTACTTCATGTAGTCTGTCAGAAATAGTAAATATTCAATAAATAATAATAGCAAACATACACTGAGTGCATATTATGAACCAGGCAATGTTCTGCATACCCAGTACATATTAACTCATTTATTCCTCACAACTAAAACAAAATTCCTTTATGAATAAAACATAATCCATGGGAAGCACCAGATCAGAATTGGAAAAACCTAAAAATTTCAGAATGTAAGTGGAAATCTTTGCACTCCAGGTGAATAGTTGCAGAAATATAAAGTTGTAAAAATATAAAGCTTATAACCACTTTTAGGAAGTTTCCAAAGAGAATGAGTGGATAAACTAAGTTTAAATAAAAATAAGGGGTGGGTAATGTGGCACAGTGAGTTAAGCTACTGCTTAGGAAGCCCACATCCTGTTTTGAATTGCTGGTTCAAGTACTCAATCCACTTCTGGTCAAGCTCCCTGCTTATGCACCTGAGAAGCAGAAGATGATGACTCAAGTACTTGAATCCCTGCCACCCACATGGGAGACCCAGATGTAGTTTAGGCTCCTGACTTAGGCCTGGTCTAGCCCCAGATGTTGTGGTATGGCCATTTGCAGGATGAACCAGCAGATGGAAGATCTCTCTCTCCCTCTTTCTCTCATTTTGCCTTACAAATAAATAAATAAATATTTTTTAAGAAGAAAGAAAATTGTGTTCATTGGAAGGAATGCAGAACTTAGATTTAGATCAAAGAATAGCAATGATCACAAGACTAAAGGAAACAAAGAGAAATTCATTCAGTCCCATTAAAAGGTGCCAGACCTGAGTAATTGTAAAGGCAAGTCTGGGTAATTTTTTTTTTTTTTTTTGACAGGCAGAGTGGACAGTGAGAGAGAGAGACAGAGAGAAAGGTCTTCCTTTGCCGTTGGTTCACCCTCCAATGGCCGGCGCACCGCACTGATCCAATGGCAGGAGCCAGGAGCCAGGTGCTTTTCCTGGTCTCCCATGCGGGTGCAGGGCCCAAGCACCTGGGCCATCCTCCACTGCACTCCCTGGCCACAGCAGAGAGCTGGCCTGGAAGAGGGGCAACCAGGACAGAATCCGGCGCCCCGACCGGGACTAGAACCCGGTGTGATGGTGCCGCTAGGCGGAGGATTAGCCTAGTGAGCCGCGGCGCCGGCCGAGTCTGGGTAATTTTGAAATCATATAAATTCTCCCATAGCATAGAAAAAATATACAATTTCGAAGTTATTTATTCAGTGGTTGCAAATTTAAAATCCAAGGAGGTTGAGGGAGGAAAATACACATACATTTTTACCCTGTAAAGATTTATTTAAATTCAAAGTGTTATATGATGTGGCCTCTGCATTACGAAATAAAGCCCTGGATATCCTCGTTTTTCACTGTGAAAAAGAAAGAAAGAAAGAAAGAGAAAGAAAGAGAAAGAAAGAAAGAAAGAAAGAAAGAAAGAAAGAAAGAAAGAAAGAAAGAAAGAAAGAAAGAGAGAGAGAGAGAGAAAGAAAAAGAAAAAGAAAGAAAGAAAGAAAGAAAAAGAAAGAAAGAAAGAAAGAAAGAAAGAAAGAAAGAAAGAAAGAAAGAAAGAAAGAAAGAAAGAAAGAAAGAAAGAAAGAAAGAGTAAGAAAGAGTAAGAAAGAAAGAAAGAGTTATAGAGACACAGAGAGCTTCCGACCTCTGGTTCACTACCCAGATAGCTACAACAGCCAGCATTGGGCCAGACTGAAACCAGGAGCTTCCTCTGGCTTTCCCATGTGGATGGTGGGGCCCAAGCATTTGAGTCATCACCAGGTACACATAAGCAGGAAGCTGGAGTCGGGAGCAGAGCCTGAACTCAAATCTAGGCACTCCAAAATGGGATGTGGACATTCCAAGTGGTGTCTTAACCGCTGTATCAAGGTCTTACCCACTGTGAAGTGTAAATTCTGAAGAATAAAAACATGAGCGAATCTAATATACTTAGAGAAATTCTGCATGTGATACTGATAGTTTACATCAGAAAAGGTGGATTTGAAAGTATTAGAATAAGTAATTATAAAGGGAAATGAAAAACTTTCAAATCATCATATTGGAAAAAAAATCACAGTGTCCAATTACCAAAAAGATGTAGAACTATAGGAACATTCATACAGTGCTACTAAAAGTAGTTGTATTTATAATAATTTGGCAAGATCTAGTGAAGTTGGAAGATGTGACTCTCTTTGACCCAGCAATTCCATCCATAAGTATTTACAGTCTTTCATGTTTGAGGGAGATGTGCATGAAGATTCACCACAACATTATGACAATGAAAAGTCAAAATGTAAATTAAAATGAATGGAGATAGTACTATCAGTGTGGATAAGTCTCAAAAATAGTATGATTAGGATTGAACTAAAGAGTATTTGGGGGTGAGCATTTGGTACAGTTGTAAAGACACTGGGATGCCCACGTTCCATATCAGAATGTCTGGTTCAAGTCTCAGCTACTCTTTCTAAACCAGCTTCCTGCTATTACACACCCTGAGGGGGCAGCAGATGATGGCTCAGGACTTGGGATCCTGCTAACTACGTGGGAGACCAGGACTGGCCCACCCTAACTATTATGGGCATTTGGGGAGTGAACCAGTGGCTGAAAGATATTTTTCTCTCTTTCTCTCTGTCTCTGCCTTTCAAATAAAAATGAAAATAACTTTAAAGATTACTTTGTATAATAGAGTGCCACGTAAGATTTGGAAACATTATCAATGTCTACAGTTTCCATTGCTAAATACTGTATAGGAAAAATCTGAAAGCATTCATGGAAATAATTAGCAGATTAAGAACAGTGGTGACCTCTGGGGAGGAACAAAATGAGATCAGGGTAAGGGTGCAAATGGAAATATGCTTACTTTTTTATTCTAAAAAAATAAGCAGATATAGGCAGGTGTTATGATGCAGCAGGGTAAGCCACTGCTTGGGATGCCACATTTCATATCTGACTGTCTGGGATCAAGTCTGAACTCTGACTCAACTTCCAATTTAATTTCCCACTAATGTACCTGGGAAGTAGTAGATAATGCCTGAGAACTTGGGTTACTACTGCCCATGTGGGAGGACTGGATAGAGTTCCTGGCTCCTGGATTCAGCCTGGCCCAACCTCAAATCTTTGCAGACATTTGGGGAGTGAATTGGCACATGAAAGATCTCTCTCTCCTTCCCTCTCTGTCACTTTGCCTTTCAAATAAATAAAAATTTTAATACATAAAGAAAATAAGCAAATATAAGCAATTCTTACCATTTGATGAAGCTGATTGTGCTTTTATGAATTGGCTGTTATGTGTTGTACCTTTCTGTGTACTTAAACTATTTCATGATAAAAATGGAGAACATTTACAATCACTGATTTAATGTGTTTTATTAATAATCCCAGATTTTCTATTTTAATTTCTAATTTCATTCTATTGTGATTTGTAAAAATACTTGGTATGTTTTCATTTTTTTAATTTATTGATAATTTTGTGGCCTAATATAAAATCCAGGTAGACTGAGGGAAAAAATGGGTATTCTGATGTTTTTGGGTATAGTGCTGTATATATTTCTGTTAGCTCCCATTGGCTTACAATTTTTTAAGTCCTTTGATTATTGATTTTCTGCCTCATTGTCATATTCATTGTTGAAAGTGTATTGAAGTCTCCAACTACTCTTCTAAAACTGTATTTCTCATTTAATGTCATTTTTTTGCATTATATATTTTGGGGATCTATTGTTAGATGAATTTTATGGACTATGTCTCACCAAAACTCATATGTTGAAGCCCTACTCCTCAGTATGATGGTGTTTGGAGAAAGGTGCCTGTGGGAGGTAACTAGGGTTAGGTGAGGTCATGATGGGTGCCCTTATAAAATAAGTGCCCTTATGAAACAAGACATAAACTCTTTCTCCCTCCCTTTTCCCCCCTCCCCAGCCCCTTCTCTGTCCTTACACAAAGAAGTGGTTGTGTGAACACAATGTGACAAGGTGGCCATTTGCAATACAAGGGGGAAAACCCTCATGAGAAGCAAAACATGCTGGCACCCTTATCTCAGAGTTCAACCTTCCAGAATTGCTAGAAAATAAATTTCAGTTGTTAAACCACCCAATCTATCATATTCAGTTATGACACCTCAAACTGACTATAGTAGTACCTATCCTTATAATTGTGATGTCTACTTAATGAATTGAAGCCTTAATATTTCACCTTGTTCTCAGAGATAATGGAACAGAAACTTCAGTGACCACACACAACAAGAAATACATACTTTGTAAAAATAATTTAGAAAGTCACTATGCAATTGGTGGCTTCAATTCTCAATAAGCATCAAGCAGCAATCCTTGATGAAGGGGAAAAACCTAATTACGGAATTAACAACATTATATTAAAATGTCTACATCACAATGAAAATTACAAAGCATACCGTCACTGATATAACTTAAAAGGAAATTCAGGCACTGGAAATAACAAGAGCTGAAATAAGTAATTCACTTAAAGGAGATCAATGGTGATTTTAAACAGGCAGAAAACTCGACCTGAAAATAAGGCTATTGAAATGGTCTAGCATGAAGAACAGAGAGAAAAAAAAGTATTGCCAAAACTTCCCAAATGTGATGAAGACATGAGAGAACACATCCAAGATTCTCAACAAACTGGAGGATATTTACCCATTATTGTGCCACTTACTGTTTCACAGTGCCAAATGCAGTACCTGCTCTGCTGTAACAGACTAACTTCAAAACATTTTCTCCTTTTTTGCAGGCATACTTTAAGCTTTTCAACAGAGGACAAAGGTGGAACATTGTGGGAGAAAGGAGGCTTCTCTTACAGGTTCTAGCTTGTAGAACCTTTTTGTTTGTCTTTCTCCTCCTGCATGGTCTTTTAGCAACGTGGAAATTTGAGAACACTTTGTGGTGTTCTGCCCCAGCTGTGTATTGAGACATGGAGTCCTTTCATGATTACAGCTTAGCCAAACCCAACTGACTGCTTTCCTGTGCTGTTCCGGGGCAAGCAGCGTTAGCTATCATCCATGGACCTACAGCAGCTCCCAATACCCCCACCACCCCTGCCTCAGGTGCCTGACTGCCAGCCACGGCTCCCCACTTTCAAAATGGTTTATTTCCCATGGCCCTCTCATTGCAGACACTGTATTTTCCAAGGCTTGTGCCTCTACTTCAGCTCTATCATTGCAACTCAACTGTGTTCAGAACAGTTATTTCCTGCTTTTTCAGCTCTGAGTGGTCTTGACAACACCAGAATTCCCCATTATCCAATGAGGCTATATAGCCCCACTTTCTGTAAGGCCTGGATCCCAGTCTGAGAGATTTCACCTTTCACATATATCCTCCCTTGGGTATTCTCCCTCAGCTAGGGTACTCTTTGGAGTTCTCTTACACTTTACCATAGTTTAATGCCTCTTTACACTACTTCTTGGTCCAGAACTAGCAGTAAAGTATACCCTTTAATAGTCACATTCTTTTTTTTTTTTTTTTTTTTGACAGGCAGAGTTAGTGAGAGAGAGAGAGACAGAGACAGAGAGAGAAAGGTCTTCTTCGGTTGATTCACCCCCCAAATGGCGCTGCGCCGATCTGAAGCCAGAAGCCAGGTGCCTCCTCCTGGTCTCTCATGCGGGTGCAGGGCCCAAGCACTTGGGCCATCCTCCACTGCCTTCCCAGGCCACAGCAGAGAGCTGGACTGGAAGAGGGGCAACCGGGACTAGAACCTGGGGTGCCGGCGCTGCTGGAGGAGGATTAGCCAAGTGAACTGTGGCGCTGGCCAATAGTTACATTCTTAGGCTAATTGTAATTAATGATGTATTTGTTATTTCTATACTGTCATGGAAATTATTGTTTATGCAATTGAATATATCATTTCTGATGTTTCATTTAGTCCTAGGGCAACAACTACAATAGCTTTGTTATAATTTTGAAAGCAGAAAGTGTGATGCATACAACTCTATTCTTTTAGTTCAAGATTGCTTTGGCTATTTGGGGTCTTTTGTGGTTTTATTTCTGCGAAAAACAACATTGGAATGTTGACAGATATTGCATTGAATATGTTGATAACTTTGGGTAGTATGTACATTTTAACAATATTCCAATTCATGAACATAATATATTTCCATATGTGTTTTCTTCAGTCTCATTCATCAGTATTTTATGCTTTTCAGAGTACAATCCTCCCTAAAAACCTTACCCAGTTTACCCCTGGACACGGCCTTCGGCTGCACGTCTCTTCCAGGTTTTTCTTTACAGGCAGAGTGGACAGTGAGAGAGAGAGAGAGAAAGGTCTTCTTTTGCCGTTGGTTCACCCTCCAATGGCCGCCGCGGCTGGCGTGCTGCGGCCGGTGCACCACACTGATCCGAAGGCAGGAGCCAGGTGCTTCTCCTGGTCTCCCATGGGGTGCAGGGCCCAAGCACCTGGGCCATCCTCCACTGCACTCCCTGGCCACAGCAGAGGGCTGGCCTGGAAGAGGGGCAACCGGGACAGAATCCGGAGCCCCGACCG